AGTCCAGCCCCAGGCTGCCTGGGCCTGACAGGCATATCACGAATAGCCTTGGGTATTTGACCTCTCTGAGCCCAGTTGGCACATCCGTAAAATGGAAATTATCACACCTTCTGCACAGGCTGGACTAGAGCTTGGCGGGCACAGTGTGCTTCTCCCAGCACTTGGCAGGCTGCTGTCGCCTTCACGTCCCCTGTCAGTGCCCTCTTCAGCGGTGGGGAGAGAGTGCCAGGCAGAGGTGGGTGACAACTCAAGGGAAGTCAGGAGGAGCCCTGGTCCACCCTCCTTTCTCTCTCCCTACGTACTTCCATGGCCAGATCGCTGCCTACCTGGCTGTCTTGAAACCTTCAGACGTTTCCAATCAGCAAAGGGTAAGGTGATGATTGTCCACGGCTCAACAATTGAAAAAAAGACTCCACTCGTTGAGGCTTACCTAGTATTTACGGTCAGAAACCTAGAAACTTCTCTACACATTCCCTTTCTCAGAAGATCTGGCTGCAAGAGCCCAAAGAGCAAAATGCTTGTTAGTAAAAACACTGATCCCCACACCACAAGGTATTCCTTCTCCTTTGGCTCCATCTCATCATCACCCTTTCTCAAATACAGCCCTCGTTAAGCTGCATGTCCTTATGTGTTTGTGTGTGTGTGTGTGTGTTTTAATGTCTATTTGAACTGTTCCCTAAGAGGGATCCAGCCCAGGCTCTGCTGCTGTGTGACCTTAGGCAAGTTATTTCACCTCTCTGGCCCTCATCTCTATGAGGTGGATGGAGGAGACCTAAGTTCTAACCTCAGGTTCCATGGATGGGCTTTCGATGTGCCTAAACCCCTTTATAAAACCAGGGAACGCTGCGTGTATCCCAGAAGGACACTGAATGGCAGAGGAGCCAGTCGTAGAAAGGAGACCTTACAGTGGTTCTGTATTCCCCCTTACATCTTTTGAATTTTAAACCAAAGGAGTGTATTATCTACTCAAAAATAAATACATAACATTGATATTAAAAAGGAAAGAAAATGTATGCAAATCCATTTGAGTGGGCATACCTGTAGATTTATCAGGTTTTTCTAAGGTGTCCCTAAGCTCAGAAAGGTCTAGAAAGCATTTCACTAGATGACCAGATGACTCATCCCCAGTTCCAGTGTCCTTAATTGGATCAAGTATGAGAGAAAGCAAAGTGAATTCCCGTACGCGTTACACAACAGCCTGGGCTAGATGTACTTGAATCTTACATTTAATTACGTAGGCTTGCAGGCCCATGTGGGCTGAGCCGGTTGACATGTGAATGCCGGACTTAACATTTTGGATCTCCTATAGTGCAGCCTTCAGAGATCAAGGTAAAAAGAATGACCCCAATCAACCTATTAAAACCTTCTTCGCTTTCTCCCTGGATTACACCGCTGCCCCCACCACCAGTGACACATCCAGCTTGAGTCAGCGGCTCAGACAACGCATATAAATAAATACAATGTGGATATGAATTTTTAAGTGCTGGCCACTATGCCTCTCACGGGGAAGGATGGACATGGAGGAGGGGGGGAGATCAGAGTAACCTGGAGGCGAAGGAAGCCCAGGCTCACCCAGAGACCTCCGTCTGAATCTCTGAAACCCTCCCGAACGCCCAGGTACAGAAGAGGAAAAAGCTTCCTGGGTCTGCCGCCGTGTGGAAGGCTTCTGAGGAGGAGCAATCTCGCAGAGGGATCAAAGCAAGACTGGTTACAGCAGCCAGACTAGCAGCTGAATTGGTCAGAGCAAAGAGAAAGGTCACATGGTTCCAAAAAAAGGAGAAGGGAGTGAAGCCCTTTAACAAATGGCCCCCGGCTATGGTAAACTTTAATTAACTGCGCCATTATAATTCACTTCCAGTCTGGAGTCCCACCCCAGCCCACTTTCTCCCTCCCACTCCCTTCCTCCTCTCCCCCAGGTCTCATCAGGGCAGGTTTCCTTAGTGAAACCCACAGGCTGCCTTTGCCAGGTACCTCCTTATCATAGCTACCGCCTCTCCTGCTCATAACGCACCCAGAAACAGACCGAAATGGGGGGAGGAAGGGGAGCAAGCTACACTGTTCTCAGCTCTAATGGCAGGCCCCTTCCCCACCTCTGTGCATGAAATCAAAGGTCTTGTAATCCTAAAGGTTCCAGAAGGTAACACTATAGCAATGAAAAGACAGGGGCAGGTGAGCAGGCGCAGATATGCACACGGGCAGAGAGCAGGGCTTGCTTCCACTTGGGAGTCACCATGCAGCGATCGCAGGGCCCATGCCCAGACAGGTAATCCACACACATCGCGTACAGTTCCATGCTGCGGCCGCACCCACCACTCCTTCTTTCATCGGCGGTTCACTTACACCAGCGACACTCTATCCTTATCCCCAGGCGGCTGAGCTTTCCCCATGTTAAGAGTGTGTGTGCGCGCGCGCGCTGAGTGGGGGTTGGGAGCACCTCAGCGGATCTTCCAGGCGAAGCATGCTTGGTTTTTATTAATGAGCTTATGAGAAAAGCCAACCCAGACCTTTAAGTGAAATGTGTGATTGGTAGCCAGGCAAGGATGGGTTTTAGAATTAACTCTTCCTACAGTCTGCTATGCATTATCACCCCCAAGCTAATTACCCCTGAGGATGAAAATAGGTTTCGTGACTCACAAGCACCAATACAACACTTGGCAGCCGATGAAAATGCAAGGACACATTCGCAGTGAGCTGACACGAATATCTATTTATATGTGGGGAGATTCTTAAAGAGGTGAGCCAGGCACCTCCCATGCACCAAGGCTAAGAAGCTGCAGCAGATCCATCAACTGCCATGTACACACACACACACACACACACACACACACACACACACACACACAGTCATGGTTTCCACTACTTCAGTGAGGGTGGTGGCAAGGCAGGAACAGAAACTGAAAGGCTGTTATTAACAGCAAGCCCCAACACCAACCCAACCACCACACCTCCACACGGGTGATGTTTCTGGGCTAACCCGTGATTTGTTTTTCCCCAAATGAGCCGGCACCCATACCATCTCCCTACCCTCCTGCTCCCTCTTTGTCGGGAGGATGCACGCCAAAAGTCTTCCTTTATTGCTTATTTCTCCGTGGGAACTGTCCTGGCTCAGCTTGCCCCCCACCAGGAATGGGGTGTGGCAAGGAATGGATTTCAGATCAGCTGCTGGTTGTTTTGCTTCCTCCCTCCTGTTCTCTACTCTTGTTCCACGTGCCTCCCAGGGAAGGACAAGGTTCACCCCGGGCTTGTTTGCCTTCCCCAGCTCTGGGAGAGCTCCAGCCTGGACACTGCCAAGGGGGCTCACAGCTCCAAAGGACATTCCTGTTCCCAGTCCCCTTCCCCACCCGTGTACCTCACAAATGCCACCAGAACGCTGATTAGGAGAATAATTGCATTTCTTCACCAGGGGAATGCGTTTCATTGGATAGCATAAGTGACCTTTATTCAGGAACTGGGTTTGGGTGTGTGTGTTTTGTTCTTCCTCTCACCCCACAACGTACTTCTAACCAGCTAAATGTCTTTAGAAATACTTGTCAAAAAGGGAGGGAAGAAAAACGTATAATGAATGAGGTGAAATTGCTTTCCCAATGCATCAGCTGGAAGCTTAATAGTACACGCATTTGTTTCCAATTGCCCACACCTCTCCTGCTTCCATTGATGGCTCTCAGCTCTGTGGCAATTTTGCTTTACATGTGCAAATACAGTGACTTCTACCACATCTGAGGCAAAGCACCATAGATGCTCCCCTCTCTCCCACCCTCACTCCCCCATACCTTGCACAAATCATAGTGCATTGGGTATCAGTATATACTCATGGCCACAAGGCAAGGCACCAAAAAGCATTCCTAACTGCCATTTGCAGCTGAGGCAGGGTGCATCCGGGACAAAATAGAAATGCTGAAGAGTAAAAGAAACTGCTTAGTCAGCAACTGTCCCTGCCCCAGAGGTGAATGTAAATAGCCTGGTACTGAGAAGGGGAGGGGCAGTCAGCCAGCACAGGGCCTTCTACAGATGCCAGCTCCGGAGCTTTCAAAGGCACCAGCATTTGTGTTCTAGCTGGAGGTGGGGTGTCCCCTCTGTTGGAACTGTGTGGCCTACCCCTAGAAAAACACACTTGCAGACGCAGGGCAGAATTAATATCAATTGAATTTATTACAAGTTACTAAGCTCCAAGGCACATTACAGTGTTCTGTTAACTACAGAAATGTATAAAGGACAAACAGAGCAAATTCTCCATGTCTAGCATTTCGCTCTACTGTTCAAAAGCATCCGTGCATCAAGAAAGCAAAAACAAAACAACACGTGAAGATCCAACACATTCAGGTCAGTAGAAACAAACCCAAACATTTTCCCTCACAAACTTGCAACAAAAAACGCCCACCCACCCCCCATCCCCTTTTACCATTTTTTATTTGCAAACAAAACAGAAAAACAAAAAACAAAACAGAACTTAAAGTGAAGACTTCAACACTTGGGGCTGTTTAGAAAGAAGCTGTCACCATTTTATAGCTTTTTTTTTTTTTTTTTTTTTTTTTTAGGCAGCAACACTGGCCTTGGCAAAAAAAAAAAAAAAAAAAAAATCATTTTCTTTTATGTTTTTTTTTTTTTCCTTTTAGAGAGTGCGTGTAACATTTACAAAAATACACACCAGCAGCAGTGTTGCTAAGGGCTATAAATTCTGTACCTAGGCAAACACCCTGCCACCAAATAAATGCTAACAAGTATGATGCATGTGACCCAACCAATATTATACTGCTCAACACAAACCAGCTTATCCTTCAAATGAAGAAGTTACATACCTTAGTTTCAAAATATAGAAACATACGACGAAAATAATGTCTATACATAAGACTAACTTTTTGCAGTTTTGTTATATTCACAATTCTACATCTTGGGGGGGGGGGGTGAAGGTGAGGGAAAAGAGGATAGATGTGGAGGGGAGGGGCCCTCTGGCTTGGACAGAGGAGCTGGTCTAGGTCAAAGGAGGTGGCCGTCTTGTGGGTTCAAGGGTCTCTCTCCTTTTTCACTTTGACATCTCCGGCTAAGATCGTTGCGATTTCGCCCTGCATGAAGGCCCAAGGTACATTCGACCCGACCAGGGGGCATTTCTCTCCACTGGGGCAGTACACCTCGCCCGTGGCCCCCTGGGCCTTGATACTCTCTCTGGAGCAAGGGAAGCAGAATTTGTGGCTGGGGACGGATGGGCACTGAACGAAATGCGTGTCCTCCAAACGTTCGTGGCAAATAGTACAGCAGAGGGGCCCGCTGTTGGCCATGGGGGAATCCGGAATGTTTTGGGGGTGCACTTGGTCCATGCCCGGGTGGGCGCTAGGCGGCGGGGGCGCCACCTGCAAATTCAGGTCCCCGTTCCGTGAGGCCAGGCGGCGCTGCCCAGGCACGGAGGCCGGCGACACCGGGCTGCTGCTGTTGCGCCTCGCGGACGCGGTGGTGGAGTGCACGGAACTGCCATCCTTGGGCGAGTGCGCGGTGCCCAGAGTGTCTGCCACCGACATGAGGGCGGCCATGGGGGACGGGCCGTTCTGAGGGGCCGACTCCGGCGGGGTGGTCCGGTTGGAGTGAGGTCCCAGGGGCGGAGGCGGCGGGGGTGGGCCGCCGGCCGCATGCCCCGGCGCCGCAAAGCCCCCCGCCGACATGGTGAGCTTCAGCGCCTCGCTCTGGTTCGCCATCCACTGCTGCCTCTGCTGCTCCTCGCCCATCTTCAGGGAGCCCTCGGCGGCGGAGTCGGGAGGCTCGGGGGACGCCTTTCTCTTGCGCAGGCTGGAACCCGCACCCCGGCCCGTGGGGGTGGCGGGCGGCAGGGCCCCGGTCCCCGGGGGCGCGCTGGGGGCGCGACCGAGACTCACCAGCGCGGTGGGCAGCATGGGGCAGCTGGCGTCCAGGTAGGGCTGGGGCAGCATGTCCGCGCCAGGCACGCCCTCCTTGAAGAAGCGCACGGCCTCGGGCAGGAGGTCCCCCAGCAGGCGCCAGTCCCCGGACCCGTGCTTCTTCTCGTACTCCAGATACTTGAAGCCGGAGGACAGGCCCCGACCGAAGTCCTTCATGCAGTCCTGGTACATCTGCTTGGCCACCCCGGACGCGCTGGAGTACACGTTGCCCGAGCCTGTGGGGTACTCGATGAACAGCTTCAGCTCGTAGTCCATGCCGGGCTTGGAGACGGCGTCGAAGGCGAAGACGCGGCCCAGCAGGGAGTGGTCCTTCTTGAAGCGCACCTCGTAGGGCGTGCAGCCGGCCAGCGTGAGCAGCGTGTCGCGGACCATCTTGGGCTTGTTGGCCCACTCCTCCGCGCGGTTGCGCAGGCTCTCGCTCAGCTCCGCCAGAGCCTCGGCGTTCCGCTGCTTCTCCTTCAGCTCCCGCTCCTGGTCCGTGCTGGACACCGAGCCGGGCCTCTTGCCGCCGGCACCCACGCCCACCTCGGCCACCGACACCGAGGTGGAAGACGTCGCGGAGGAGGAAGACGTGGCAGAGACGCCCGGCGCGCCCCCGAGACAAGCCGGGCCGCCGGGGGCCCCGGGTGGCGCGGGAGTCGGGGGCCCGCGGCTGCCCAGGCCGTGGGGCGGCGGTGGGGGCAGCACGGCGGCGCTGGCCGGACCGTTCAGCAGCGTCTGCGGCAGCAAGTTGGGGGGCACGGTGAGCTGCGGGCCTCCGCCGCCCCCGGCGCTGGGCAACCCCGACACCAGCCCGCTGTGCGTTCCACGCCGAGAGGCCACCGTCACCGAGGAAGACGAGTTGGGGCTCTGGCGGTTCAGTTCCGGGGGGCCCTCTTCCGAGGCGGGCTTGGGGAAGCCGTTGGGGCCACCCAGGCCGTTGGGCAGCCGCGCGGCGTGGCTGCCGCTCCCCAGGCTCACCGGAGGCGGCGGGTACTCGAAGCGGCTGCGCTGCTCCACGGCGGCGGCGGCGGCCGCGGCAGCGGCGGCGGCGCTCAGGCCGTAGCGCTCCAGGCCGGACGGGGCCGCCAGCACAGCCGGTTTGCCGGAACCGTCAACGTGGTTCAGCTGCGGCTGCGGCTGCTGCTGCTGTGGCTGCTGCTGTGCAGCGGCCGCCGCCGCTGCCGCCGCCGCTGCCGCCGCCTCCTTCGCCGACAGGGCCACCGTCTTGACCCCGACGGGCGGCGGCGGCCCCGGGGAGCGGCCGTCCTGGAAGCAGCCGTGCGCCCGCTTTAGCTGGCGCGCGGTCTCGATCACGAACTCGATGCGATCGGCGCCCTCGTAGTTGACGCAGCCGCGGCAAACGGGCTCCGAGAAGTCCCAGATCATGGCCCAGGGCATCCGAGGCAGGTCGCACAGGTAGCAAGACTGTCTCCGGGACGAGGACACCTGCGCCGCCGACATGATGCCGGCCCCGGGGAAGGTGGGCCCCCGCCCGGGCTGCCTCCGCGGAGCCTTCTTCTCCTCGGGGAGGACCGGCCGGCTAGGGAGGGAGTCGGGCTGCGGGGGAACGAGGGGGGGCGAGAAAGTTCTGCCCCTGTGGCTGGAGGGCGCGCGATTCTCCACCGCCGGCGGCGCAGTGCTTCTCCTCGGGGGCTCCGCCACCCCGGGCGGCGTACGACTTCAGCCCGCTCCTCGCCCCCACCTCCGACTGCGGCTGTCTGGTCCGGAGGGGAGCACGGGCGCCTTCCTGGTGCGGCGGACTCGAACTGGAAGCTCCAGGCCCGCCCGGGGGGAGGGGGCGAGGGTACCCGGTGCCGGCCGCCGTTGGCTCTTGGCCCCCTCCCCGGAGTAGCTGGTGAGTGGAAGCTCGGAAGGGGACTCTCTTCCTCTCCCTGGCGGGTTCCCCCCTACGAGCTGCGTCCTCTCCCCGCCAGGCTCCCCGGGGCGAGGGCTAGAGGGTGCAGTGCCACCCGGTGCGCCCGGGTCCAATCTTGCTGAAGTCGCGGCTTTTCCTGGAGGGCCGGGGCAGGGAGGGGGTGAGGACCGAGAGAGGAGGCTCGCCCTCCGCGGCGTCGGCGGTTCCGCTGGCGGGCTGCTGGACTGGCACGGCCGCAGCTTCCAGGACGCACCGGAGCAGAGAGAGAGAGGAGCGCTCGCACGCAGGCTCCCGCCGCCCCCAGACCAGGCCGGCGCCCGGGCCGCCACGGCCGGCGGCGCTCACGTTGGCTGCAGGGCACTTGCGCGGCGCCCGGGCCCGGGGCGCATCCCTTCCCGCCGCTTGCACTCGCCCGGAATGTGGGGTTGTGATTGTTACTCTACGTTCCGGAGGCGCGACTCGGCGCTCCCGCTCGCGCTGCGGCTCGCGCTGTCCCCGGCTTGGCCGCGCGGGATGCCGCCCGGGCGGAGCGCTGACGTCACCACCATGCTCTGCACCAGTTCTCCCCCCCCCCCCTTTACACTTCCTCTGTGGAGCCCACTTGTTGCTCGAGCAAGGCGCATGCGCGGCAGGGCGCCCAGATTCCTCCCCACCGGCCCCTCCTCCGCGCCTCCGCCCTCCCCTCCCCTCCCCTCCCCCCTCGCCGTGGTGTGTGTACAACAGCTGAGGCTCGGCGCGAGCTAAGGCTGGAAGTCCAGGGCTGGGGGGAGTGGAAATTAAACAAGACGATGACCTTTCCTTTCCTCGCCCGGCTTTTCTCGAGTCAAAAACGCATTTAAAAGCCGCAAGCTCATTTCCGATCTCGCTTCCCACCCAACAACCACGGGCAGGGAATGTAAATGTCCTGTTTCAAATTTTTTCGCTGTGAATTGCATCTAGAGGTATTACCCGTTTCATCTGCGATCAAACCTCCCGCCCACCCCCGCCATACCCCGCGGCAGGGCTATTTACATTCATTGATAACAACTGGAACACCTGCAACATTCGCTGCTTTCCATTCTTCCAGAAACTGCCTTTTCGACTTGTTTTTGTGTACTAGTCTAGGAACCGAGCTTCAGCGTCGGAGCTAAATGAATTCAGGGTGAGCTACCCCTCCCCCCCAAGCCGCAGTCTAAAATTTTTGGCTGAATGTCTAAAGAAGCTACGAGCACCCGGAGGCCTTAAGGAAAACAGTCAACTGGCTGCGCACAGCTGCGGTTGGGGGCAGGGAGGGAGAGCTGCCGGAGAGGCCAAACAGGTGAGTGGTGTTTACGGGTTTGATAAAAGAAGGTAGGGGCAGCACTTAATAATACTGATATCTCTTTGTAAAGCACAGCACAATTTACACAGTTATTTCTCACGTGCTGTGATTTCATTCCGTGGTGCCCAGAAGGGTGAGCAAGACCGTGATTTCTTTTCTGCTACAGGATCACTGCTCCTCAGATTGCTTATTGCAGAACAGATTATGTTGCTCTTAGCTCTCATCACTGATTCTTTTAAGTATTGGGTCTGGGGTGTTTTTTGTTGTTATTTTGCCTTTTTCCCATCATAAAAACTGAGATAATCTGGGTAGGGATGGAGGCAATATAGGAAATTCAGGTTCTGGAGCCTGGCAGACCAGGATGAATTCCCTCTTTATCACTTACAGTAAGACCTCACTTATCATCATCAATAGGTTCTATGACCTTAAGCAAAACCAAGTTTACCATAGGCTAACTGTCATAAACAAGAGTAAGGATCCTACAATATGTCTTTGTCAACATCACTTATGAAGAAATGGCTTTGAAAGCAATGTCTTATTGGAGGACCTGCTGTACTGGCTCTGTGACCTTGAACTAGCTACTTATCTTCACCTAACCTCACATCTGCAAAATGGGATAATAGCTCCCAACATATTAAAACTCTTTGAAATTTCATTTTGTTTCTTATCTCAATAAGAGGTAAGTCACTGAGACTAACTGTGAGCCAGACGCTGATAGGTGGTTTACTTGTATCATCATTAAACCCTCCATATTATCTACAGGTAGATCCTATTATTAACTCTGATAGGCTCAGAAAGTTAAGAGGTTAAATAACTTGTGGAAGGTCACGTGGCCATTAGAGAGGGCGCTGAGAGCTGAATCCAGTAAATCTAATTTGAGAGGTGACTTTGACAAGCTTGGGTTCTCAGAGGTGATTTGGGATGCTCACAATTTCCATCAGCCCTCCTCCCTAATTCTTTATTACATGCACTCTCCTGTAAAGTACTGTGCAAATACACCTTTATAGCCAAACTCCAATTCTCTCCTTCCAAAGAGACTGAGCCACTGAGTTCTTCCAAATACAGAAGTTGTGGGCCTGCCACTGCCACAGACCGTAACATAAATTACTATACAGTATGCAGAGCACAGTGCAAGGCTTATAGGAAGCTGTTGGTAAGTATTGTATATTATTCTTATTGATATTAATGTTAGTACAATTGCTAGTTAACAGGTTAAAGTACTTTGTAAATTATATAAACTGTAAAGAACATTGTTCCTACCATTACTACTAATTGTAATAAAATTCAGTTGAAACAGCGAGAAGTATTTATCTTTATTTTGACCTTCAGAGCCTATTTCCTCCATCCAGCACTCCCAGCACCCAATCTCCCACTAATTCTGGGCCCTATGTGCGAAGGTATCGGAGTTTTTAAGGATAGGGAGAAAGGGGAGAGGAAGAGCCCTAGGGAGCCCCTCTTTCATCTCAAAGCAGCCAGATTTCTGTTTTTGCAAAAACAGTGAGCTCACTGTGCACTCCCCAACAATAATAAACGTTCCCTGGCCTGGCTGGCTCTGGGCAGTGATTCCTCTTGCAAAGAGCAGCTCCAGGAACCTTGCCTCACCCTCCCAGCCTTCAGCCCTCCCCACACCACAGCTACCCTGGAGTGAGTCAAAACATAGGGCTGGGAAATGGAGTGACAACCCCATCAGCCCAAAACTCAAGGCTCTTTGCTTTGGCTAGCCTGGTCTCCCCATTTCTTTACATTAATATTTGTACAGCCCATCCCTTTATTAAACCAAAAATACTGAGGATTAGCAACTTAGCCCCAACCCTATCTAGCCAGGCTGCTGGAGAAAGCAAGTTGGATTCTCTCATAATGTTATGTTTGGTATGTGCATACACGTCTCCCGTCTTCCCTGTTACTAAAGGACACCACACACACACACACACACACACACACACACAAGGTATCTTTAGACACACCAAGTTAGAAATAAACATGCATTTAAACAAACTTCCATTAAAGTCTCCTAACCCTTTAATTTAAAAAGCATAGCTCTCTTGATACCCTTCCTGCCCTAAAAAAATAAAATAAAGTAAAAAAATAAGCATTATTTATGAAGATAAATTTTGGCTCAATTGCTTGTCTGAGATGGCCCTGTGTAGGGCTGTGCCAGGGATTGTGAGAGGGAAGAACATGGACTTTTTGGAGAGAGATTGTCCCTGAATCCCACATGACAATACTGTGTCCACAGCGGGAAGGAACGGGCCAGCGGGAGAACCAGAGGGGCTGCTCCGCTTAAGACATCAGGTGGAGCGAGAGGGACTGTTCTGGCGCTGGGGTCTGAGAGGCCAGCAGAGCCAAGACTCAACTAGGAGCAAGAGGAAGGGCCTACAGCCCTCCCGTAAGGTCTTTCCTATGGGGACTGTCTCCCCACCCCCAGCTTGCGATCTGAGCTGGCACCCTCAGAGAACCCTGCTCCTAACTGGAACACAAGGTCAGCTCTCCACTCGGCCTTTCCGGAGGCCACAACCCGACATCAGGGGTGAGAAGGTCGCAGCGAAGCTCCCTGCACTCTCTCTCCTCCTCCCGCCCCCGCCCGTGTGTGGCCGAGAGATGGATCTGGCGGGGGCCTCGGGCCTGGCATCCCTGCAGCCAGCTGGCTGGCTCTTCCAGGAGGCCCGGGCTGAACCTCGCATCACCCCCGCTGCAGCGCGCGCTGCCAAGCGCTCGGGCAAGAGAAGGCCCTTTTTTGGTAACACTCAGCCCTGCCCTAAGCGGGACCCGGCTCTTCTGCCCGCTGGAGCGAGGGCCGCCTCCCGCTGCAGCCGCCTCGGAGTGGAAGGAAACAAACGTCCGGGGTGGGCGCCCTCCGGCCTCTCCAAGGACCCCCACCCCGGGGGCCAGGCGCGCCCGGGGCGGTGGGGGAGGGAACCGAGTCAGCCTGGTAATTTACACTCCTTCCCCCCCACCACCCCGGGGCAGGCTCCGGGGGGCGGAAGTATTTGCAGTTTCCTAAAGGATTAATCCTGGTATTAAAATTTTTTTTAAAAAAAGTATTAGCTTAGGCCAGGACGTAGGGTTACGCAAGAGCCACTCGACCGTGAAATCCCAGGAACAGCGTGATTCGCCCAGAACCTCCGGGGAGGGGAGGCCGCGCCGCCCGCTAAGACCTGCCCCGCCCCGGGCGCGCGGCCGCCGGCGCTCCCTTCCCGGTTGGGTGGAAGGAAAGGAGGACGCAGGGGTTGGTGCTGGCGCTGCGGCCCCGGAGAGATCAGATCTCCGACTGCTCTCTTCCTGAAG